TAAGTTTAATAAGGTGTTGCTTGTTAACTTTAATGCTATAGTTAAGGATAGGTTCCTAAATTATTTAATATATAAAATTTTGCAAATCAATTATGTTTCTTTTGAAAGAATATAATTATTTATTTATTACTTTAATAGGAACATAATTCAAAAAACACTTGAATCAAGTGACCTAAATTGCAAAAAACCTTTGTAGATAGTTTTTTTTTAACTTTATATTTAAAAAAAAACTTTTTTAATAGTAAGAGATATTTGAATTATATTCTTGCCTTTAATTTAGGAATCCATCTTTAGCTATAATAAAGTTAGTGGCTTTGATGTTTTTGAGATTGAGGTCAAGAATGAGATTTTTAAGTTTGAGTTTTTTTTTATTTATTAAAGGTTTAATGAATGTGTAGGAAAAGATATGCAAGAAATTATCTGGATATGTATTACATTTTGAACACAAGTTGTCAGAATAGTAACTTGTATTTTATTTAATTGAGATTTTTTAGTTTGTTGTTTGCTTTAGTAATAATTTCCAATTTTTTAAAAAAAGAGTATTTATATATTTGTATTGTTTATTTTAAATTTTTTAATAAAGTGTAAATAAATCCTCAGTTGTTCAAACTTTTGGACGAACACATACCCCATACGGTCTAAAAGTCATCAACCAGTTCAACAAAAATATTAGAAAACTCTGTAATAACAAATACAGTATCTTAGTAGTCTTCAGAATCAAACTGCTTTCAGAAACTCTTCCAACCCGTCTTACACTTCACCAGTTATATTCTAATCAATATCTAAATACTCTCTGTCTACGATGTGAACTTCATGTGGAAGACATTCAACATGTTTTCAAATATGTGGAAGCATCACAAGCAACTGAGCAAATTATTAAAACTATTAATCAAACTCTCCATTCAGATGATAATTATAAACCAATCTCATATATATGACAAGTCGTTGAGTTGTCATGTGAAGTTACAGACAAAATCTTCTCAACTATAAACTCTACAAACTGGATCAAGACGGCAACAAAATCTTTGTCCTTATTGTATGATCTAATTTGAAAACCACATTGCTCTACAGCTAAAACTTCATCTCTCACCGGAATCAAGTGAAACCATATCAAAATACACAATACAGCCAATTTCATTAATCCAGAAGCTAAAAACACCTCACAGGTCAAAGACACCTTCAATAATTTACAAGATAGCATCATTATTGACCTACCTTCTACTGTGGCTAACTTATTTATCCAATCTAAATATAATTATTCCAAATGTATTCATAGTCTAACAACTCTATTCGCCAATTCCAATTTTATTACTATTTCTCCTAATGCTGAGTAGGTATTTATAGCTGCTTGGTGCCATCTGACAAGATATATTGTTTTAAATTTTCTTTTCAATATTAGTCATATGGTTATTGTAGGCAAGCTAGTATTTAACTCATTGTACCAACATATGAGAGATGTTGTTTTTTTCACAATATATACCCTGCTATATACAAATCAAATAAAGAAATGATGTTTACCTACAAAAATAATAATAATAATAATAATAAAGTATAAATAAAATAAGTTTTAATATATATGAAAATAAATTGATTTTTTAATATTAAGAGTTTTAATTCTTGAGATTATAAATATATAATTATTTTTAATTATTTTTTAAAAGATATTAAGAATTTTTTTATAGAATATATATATTGTTTCTTATTTTAATTATTGATAATACTATTGAATATAAATAATTAATTGATAAATTTAATATTTAATATATTTGCTATATAAGTTAATATGATTTTGAGATTGTTTTTAAGAAATCTAAAAATAAGCCTATAGAATTTTAAATATTGTTGTTATAAAAAAATATATTAAAAAATATAATTGAATTTTAAAATTTTTTGCTATACAAGTAGTATTAAGAAGTTATTTTTTTTATTGAATTTATTTAAATTATAGAGTATATAGAATTTATTTTTTTGTACTGAAATAATATCTTAATAAAATAGTAAGTTTGAATAGTAGATTAATTATTAATAATAATTTTTGTTATTTTAAAGTAAAGAGATTTTCAAACTTCTTTTACTAATGAATTAAATCAAAACATTTTGATAAAATCTTATATAAGACTTTAATAAGCTTGTTAATTTTTTTTGTAAGTTATTGAGTAGTGATTTGTAAAAATATAATATAAAAAAAATATATTTAAATCTTTTCAATACAATTTATTCAATAATTTTTTGTTTAATTTTTTTTTTAATTTCTGATATATAAGCTTTTTTGTAATCTTATTAATTATATTTTTGAAAATTGTTTTGTTAAATTTTAATATATAACAAGAAAAAATTCAAATACTTAGATATTTAAATTTTTATAGAATTTAAAAATTCAAATAAAAAGATTGTTAAAGTTATTATTATATAAAAAATTGTTTTTGATTAAAATATTGTTAATTATTTTAATTTTGTTTTTGTTACAGATTAAGTTATTAATTTTAAAATTTTTTTGATTTTTTTTTAAATCTATAATTAATATAGAATTATTTATATAAACAAGTATATTAGAAATTATATAATTAATTATTTAAATGATTTAAAAGATTAAAAATAAATAGATAATAAAAAATAATCCAATATATATATATATTATTTAAATATACAGTATATATATATTGTTAATTATATTGATAAGTTAATTATTATTTAGAATTAAACTTATTTTATATTAATTATAAGAATTATAATACTTGTAATATTAAAAAATTTTATTGATATAATAATTCTTTAACTTTTATTTTTTTATTTATTTTTATAATTTAATTTTTTATTAATAGACTTGATATTAATTACTATTTAATTTTTTAAATAACAAGTATTTTAATAAAATAAGTTTATTAATTATTATAGCAATTATAATTGGTTACAATTATAATATAATTGATTAATTTATTTATTTATTTTATTATTATTATTATTATTTAAGATATATTCACCAATATAATGTTATATTACTTAAGATATATTCATCAATATAATATTATATTATTCAAATTTTTCAAAAGCTTTTTAAGGTTTTTTTTATTTTGATATATAAATCAATATATTATATTATACTATATAACTCATGTCAATTTTAATTTATTTACTATGTTTATTATTAATAATATTTAAAAATATATTTTATTTTATATTTATTTTATTAAAAAATTTTTTAATTAAATTAAATTAATTGATTATTATTTGAAAATTTTAACAGAATAAAAATTAATACTAATTATAAGAAGGTTTTAATATAAGTAAAAATAAATAATCAAGATTTTGATTTTAAATAAACATTTTAAATTTTAATTACTAGTAAATTAAATAAATATATTTTTTATATAATTTTTTAAATATGTTTATTGTGATTTTTTTTTCTAAAAAAAAAAAACTACTGTTTCTAGAGAACTATGAAAATTTTCATAAATATTTTTTTTTGTGTTTTGAATTAAATAAATTGTTTTTTAATATATTTTATAAATATATTTTAGTTTTTAAATAATAATATAAAAGCAATTTGACATAAATTTCAAAGGTTAAATAAAATTAAATAAAAAATATTTATTTGAGATTTATTATGTAAGATTTAAATAATATTATATTATTTGATTGTATATTTTTTTATTAAAAGTATTGAAACTTTAGTAATGTTTTCCGGCGTTTGAATTGAAGCATTTAAACAATTTTAAATTTAAAAATTCAAATTTTAAAATATGAAAATTTAATTTATATATAATTGTTAGCTTATATATAAACTGCTAATAATTAAAAAAAAAAAAACCTAGTATTTTGGAATAATTCCGAGCTTTCAATTTTTATTCTTTTTAATTTAAATAAGATCATGATTTGGAACTAAGACAAAATAAAAAAAACAAGTCAATTGTGACTAATGAGTATTATTAAAAAATATTAGTTATAAAGGTTACAAATATATACAGTATATATTATTTACATTTTTACTGAAAAATGTCATTATATTATTTTTTTTATTACTGCATCATACATTAAATACAATATTTATGACAAAAAAGGAGAGCTGTGTGCGTTTATTTTTCCTCGTAATGATACTTAATTACGTGAGAATGAAAAAATACGATTTTAAATATACGTACGTCGTTGGGGGTAATATATCAAGTCTATCGCATGTCGACAGAATTTTTGGGTGTAATCGATCGAAAGAGGTAATTTTTACTCGGCCGATGTAAATATCAATGGTTTGAGTGTTACAGCATTTTGCGAATTACCAGGTTATTCGTCTTGTTGCAATTCTGTGCTTTGCGGTTATTGATATTTTCCCTTATAATATTGCTGCAGTGATATCTCAAAATTCGTTGAAACCAATAATAATTCAAAAGTTTATACTGTACAGTGTACACCTCTAATTACGTATGCATACTATCCCAGGCTATATATACTTGTAGATAAAAAATTTAATTGCGATCACGGTACAGATAAAACCTTACAGAATCTCCTATAGCATAGCATTATATATATAATCTTTTAAATTTGGTATATGCAATAACTATACTTATGTTCCCCGGCTTTCCTGCATGTTGTGACGAGGGCATAATTTATCTCTTACAATTTTCGTTTTTAGTAAATAGATGACGTAACGTATGATTTTCAGAGATCAGATGGAAGCTAATCGTTCTTGACAAACTTTTTGATTATTTGTAAAATGAGACTTTTAATGAATTTTGTGCGCATTTGCATATCAAATTCTTCGATGAATCTTTTTACACAAAATAACTATGAATTTTCTTTTTGACTAAATAAGAATTCCTTGTGATTAAAATATAATGCATTACGTATAAACAAAAAAAGTGGTTTTCTCTAATCAGAAACAAAAACTGTACACCTAAATTATTTAAAATTAAAAAAAAAAATTTGTCTATTATAAAAAAAAAAAATTAATTCTACAATCGGTATAAAATTGACATAAAAAAGCAATGGTCACGCAGTAACACTCTTGCTCATGATTTCAGACATTGAACCTTTGGGATAATAAACCTTGCGTTCTCCATGACTTCTGATGAGAACATATCGGGACGTGGGAACCAAAACTCTTGCAGACTCTTGACCTTTGCATAATACGTGACTACCGCTAAATATTGATCGTTCAGATTATCATTGTTTATCACTAACTTTGACAATTTCCCATCAAACTTCCATAGGAAATATTGTAGCCCTTGTGAGGTCATCATAAAGTTTATTTCTAAATTTCTCGTGGTAGGTGGTATTGCGTGAGCTATTTCTTGTAGTAAGTCAATCGTGAACGTCGTTTTATCTTGATTGATTAATCCTAGCGTTTCGAGTGACAAACTTGAGAGGTATTGGAGAAGTTTTAACATAAGAGGTTTGGTAAGGTTCAGGTGTAGACTGGTGAGATTAGGACAGTATAGACCGATCACCTCCAAAAGTTTGGGTGTCACTTTCAAGAGATGCAGTTCTCTTAAATTTTGATTCGCCATCAAAATTATTACTCCCAATGTGAGTTCGGGGTCCCTTTCTGAATCGTAGCATCGGAGCTTCTTGATGGATAATTGTGTTGATGAACTTGATAAACACATGAGCGCCTCCATATCAGCAACCGGAACTGTCCATAGTTCTAATGTTTCCAGGCTTCGGCAGCTCGTCAGAAATTGAAGCAAAAGATTTAATTTTGAGATATTCCTTAAACTGAGAAAGGTCAATGAATGTGATTGTCTTGCAAGTGATGAATAAAATAGCTCCGATTTCTCGGGATTCCAAAATTCATGGATCTCAAGAACTTTGAGATTATTTTGGACTCCTATTAAATTCCAGAACGCCTCACAAATATATAATGGAAGATAATTCTGTCGAAAAGTTTCCACGGATAATTTGATGTGCTGGATGTTTCGAGAGCTTACCGCCAGTTTGGTCGAAAATAATGATATGCTCTCCGCCTTCGGTCCCCAATCACTGTTAAAGGTATTATACTGTACCTCAAACTTCTCTAACTTTGAAAAGAGAAATTGAAAGTTGAAGTTGTTTAACAAGTCGAGCATGCTGACACTTGTTGATAAATTGCTCTCCAATCTCAGAATCCTTAACCCGTTACATCGACCCAAGAGAAAAGAGGCAATGAATTTTTCGAAAAAAATAATCTTGTTGCTAAATTCCAATCCTCGGTTATAAAAAAATGTTTCCACCCATTCTCGTACGGCCAGCTGGAAATTTAACCAGTCAAATCCGCGCAAATACTTTGGATAATCGAATAAAGGCTTTACCGAGTCCGAGAAATAAATTCCTCGTGCGAGCATTTGATCTTTTAGTTCCTCGGGCAAACAAGAAATGTATGAATCGAAAATATTTGTTGCTTGTCGTCCTCGTAACCTGCTACTAAATGGATTATACCATAACAGGGGCATGGCCAGCTGACTCCAAATACGATTGACCAGGATACAAGAGTGAAGGGTTGTTCGACTGTCCAAGAGATGATTCAAAATCTCTTCCAAACAGTCAATCGTCAGAGGAGGAGGCACAGTGTACACAGCTTTCACCGGAGGAACCTGGGATGTTGATTTCATTCCAAGCAGGGGTGTGGCCGCTATAGAAGATATTTGAAGGTTCGTCTCAACATTATGATACTGGGTCATCGTCACCATGATGGAAATTCAAAGATGATGTTTTACTAATACGGTAGACATCAAGGCATGTTAGTGAGGTGACCATGGAAGTCTCGAAACCAAAGCCATGAAAGTTTTTCTCGAAAGACTCACTGTTACAAATTCCAAATGGTTTCTTTCAAACCGATTTCCGTACAACCTTGGAATGGTGCAGTGTGAAATCAGAACCCACCAACCAAGATTTATATTATTTTTAACAATTTTAATCAAATTCCCTTGTGCCACTAGGCATCCTAAATATAGGTTTGTCGTGTTGCATCATGAATCACAAAGCGCCGTCTCATTATTCTCTCATTATATCAAATGCATCAAATTTATTGTTGCTATGTCGAAAACGGAACTCGTAGCCACTACATTCTTACCTATGTACGTAATCAACGTAATAATATGCCTGTTGTGTGCTTGTTCTCATTCCACGCCCAATATTTCGTTTCCATTTTCGGCTAGTGCCCTGTTTAGTAAATTAAAGTTTCCGAAAAAAGGGTGAGCACGTGCTCCCGGAGGATGGTATATGATGATGATACGTTAACATAGCCATCATTTCTTTTTACATCTTCATGCCCGATTGCGAAAATCCGGTGAGTGTGAACTTTTTTCCGATTACCTCGATTTACTGTAATTGTAAAGTCGATTCGACGGACTTGCGCATTTAGGTCACCCGGCTATTTATTCTAAGCCCAGCACGGTCATGCCATTTCAAGTCAATTGGTTGACCAGTTTTACTCATCCGTGCCACTATTGTTCGAGCTGCATTATGCGATGCAACGTTGATAAATGGTAGCGTGAGCCGATATTATGACATTATGTTATCGTCCATTCAAATACGTATTTGTTATTTGTTGTTATGCATATCAACTCCTCACGTGCACACAACAATATGGAACTTTTAATAGAGACCTTGTGAACAATAGTCAGTCTGATGAAAAATGCCACGCCACCATATTATTCTATTATGTCAACTAAAAATGCCCTTGAGGTCTTTGTCACATAATAATAGATTGATTAGAATCAAATAACCACAAAAAGTCCATTATTAATTGTTTATGACTCCGCAATACTTAGAAGTTTTTTAAAATCCCCGTAGATTAACCACATAATAAGACATACGTGTGGTAACTTTGTGTTCCGCAGCGTGCAGCGCCCCAAATTTTTTAAAAAGGCTGCTTTTCAATGGAACTTTTGCACAATCAATGCCGAAATAAGTAATGTGATAACAAAAATTGAGATATTAAAAAATTTTTTTAAATAAAATGACGGCACATGTTTGAAACAACAAACAAATAAAGACGGCAAATAGTCAGGTAAATTGCACTATATTTGCTATCTAGTGATGATTTTTTTTTTTTTTTACAGTATTAGTTGTTGGAACAAATGTTTAAAGTTATTGAGATCACTTTAACTCAAATACAACCACTCGGTTAATGATGACAAAACCTTATTAAATAAAGTTTGGACAATTGCTTCATGCATGAAGTTGGTAAGATTTAAAAAAAAACACTTGATGCAACATTATGCATTCACAATACAACTGTTATTTCTAACTATTTTTATTTTAATTCTGTTCTTTCACTGATCAATATTTTAAACAATGTGCTGTAACCATTATTATCTTGATTACAATTTATTATACATACACATATACAAGTCCAGTATATTTTAATTTATAAAAAATTTTATGTTTATTTTATTATTATTATTACAATTATTACATTAAATATTTTAAAAAATAAATATTTATACAACATATACAGTACATTAAATTTAGAATTGAATATTGAAAAATATAAATTTTCATAATACAATTATAATCAATTATGTTTTTTTTTGTTAAATTGATTTATTATTATTATTATTATTATTGAAACAAAAATTGTTTTTTAAATAAACTCAATTAGTTTTTTAATAAATATATATTGTTTAAATTAAAATAAAGTATTTATATTTATTTAATATTATATATAAAATTAAGGATAGATTTTATTTGTTAAAAAATTTTGTATATAACAAAATAATTTATTATTATAAAATTAAAAATAAAATTTATTTATTAAAAAATTTTGTATATAACAAATTAATTTTATGTTTATAAATTTATAAATTATATCATTAAAAATAAAAAAAACCATTATTTTATTTAAAGCTATTATTATAAAAATTTTAAATTAGAGTTTTTTTATTATATTTAATAAAAAATAATTATTTAATTTATTGTAAAATAAAGTCTTAAATATTTAATTTTTAAAATTAAATATTTAAATAATATTATAAAAAAATAAAATAAAAATATAATATTGTTATCTAATTAAAATATAATTCAAACTTGAATAATATATATATATAAAGTACATTTGAGAACTCTTCCTGCTGATCCTTTTGCCAACACAAAAAAACAGATGTTCCAAGAAAATTTTATATTTCCTTGTAATAAAGTCTATATACTTTCATTAACAACACTCATACCAAGAGACAATAGTCTCCCCCACTTGTTTCTTTCTCTCTTTGACATAAACTTCC